ATAATAATAATAATAATAATAATAATAATAATAATAATAATAATAACAATAATAATAATAATAATAACAATAGTATTAGCTATGATGTAAGTGGTCTTTCATCGCATAATTGCATATTCTTTGATGGGTTCCAATCAGCTGTTCGTTGTCGCCATTTTTCATAATTCATTTCCAATTGTGTAAGTAAATTTGGAAGATTTGAAAATTGTGTCCAACTTGTAAATGCTTCACGTGCAAACATATCAATAAAACCACATTGTGTTAATGGTACATTACAGACGTTACGATCAAATAATTCCATTGTTAATGGTAATCCTTTTTCGCGTTCTTCACTTGTCTAAAACATGCTAAGTAAACTTTAATAAAATGGGAAAGAAATGAGTGAATAAACTAAATTGATTAATTAATTAATTAACTGTAAAAATAGAAAATAAAAGAATGAAAATAATTTTTGAGCTAAAGTAAATTCGTAATTGCTTCATTAATTTTATGCTAAAAAATCTTAAAATGATATAAAAGGAAGAAATTTGATTTTTGATAAATGATAAAAGATTAGAATTGAAATGTCTATATTTAATTAATTAGTCGTAAAATCATTTCATAGCTCATCAACAGATTATTAATTAATTTTATTAATTAAAGTTCTTGGTAATAACTTATTATAACTATCCTTCCATTCGTTGACATTAGCATTATATTTGCAGAACAAAGAAAAAAAAGGAAAAAAGAATGATTTATTAATTTTTGTTTTTCTTAATTTAATTGACAAATAACAATTAAGAAAATAGCTAAAAAATACAATCATTATCATTTGCAAAAGTAGCGAAAAATTATGATCATCATAATATTATTGTCACTATCATTGTTGTCATAATATTATTATCATTATCATTACTATTATAATATTATTACCACTATCATTATTGTCATAGTATTATTACCACTATCATTTTTGTGAAAATTTGTGATTATCATATTAGTACTGTTATCATTTATTATCATACCTTTGTGCTTATAAAGTAAAATTAAAATTTTGACCTATTTTATATATGTGTGTGTATGGGTGTTCCTTTTCTACCATAATTAATGTCTAACATTTAATTAATTAATCGTGAAATCATTCTATAGCTCATTAAGTAATTATTAATAAATTTTATTATCAAACGAGAGAATCTAGATAGATCTGATTATAAAGAACCTGATCAAAATATTCTTCCACAATACGCATTGCCCATTTTTCGCATAATTCCCATTCTCTTGTTGGATTGCCAATATCTGCACATTTAATTAACATTCGACTTATTGTAAGCGATGTATTATTCTCATTTTCATCATGATCCTGTAAAAATTTTAGCCTTTTTTTTTAAATTAAAATTTGAATTGAAATTTATTTCAAAAAATTTCAACAATTTCTCAGCAATATTTCTTCAAGCTAATACTAATTTTTAAAGAATGAAATTTAAAATTGACACTATTATTGATTTACAAATTAAATGAATTAGAACAGAAAAAAAACTGACAAATTTTCCGAAAAATTTATTTACC